AAATTCGTTGTTTCCTAAAGTTAACGTAAATTCATTTTTTTTTAAATCGAACGCTGTACACTGCTCAATTTTCGTCCAGAACATCTTGGATTCCTCTTCTTCCTTGAACTGCTTCCCACAAGCAATCAGCCATTTTGACATAGCAGATAATGGCTCACCATGCGGTTCCGACGAGACCATATAGCAGTATCCATTTTCAGTATTTCACGTCTCTACTGTACAATACGTTTAACGTTATCGCCCTGGGTCTCTATTCATACCATAGCATTCGGTATTACTCCTTTCATGCTAGTAACGTATTCATGTTACGTATGCCTGTTGTCATTATAGAATCACTCGTATTAACGCGAAGCTAACACCTTCGCTCATAATGGGAGCGTTGCGCAGCTTGTAACGTGTAGAAGACTCTGTTTCGAAGTCAGATCGTTTACTTCATAGCTAGGCTACTTCGGAATCCGATGATGATTCCGAATTTAAATTTAAATTTTAAAAAAAAAAAACATTAAATGCTAGTAACGTATCGGGTGTTATAGGTTTATAGCCGTCGAAGTGGGAGCTTCGGCGTATGCGAATGGTTGGAGGTAAGCTGCTTGTTGACACGCGAACATGAACAGAAATACTGCCATCTGCTGCACTGTAAAGCCCGATTACTATTGACAGAGGCAGACGGGTCAATATGCACTATTGTATATTAACATTTACGCCATTTTAGATGTACGATTGTCGTGTCGCCCGTAAGCATAGGATCATCTATATGAGCACGCTAATTCTACACATCTGCAAGAAAAAAAAAAACAGGAATATATTGTGTTTTTCATTGCCTTCTCAGGGGAGCGTTGCCCAATGAATTTCTCTTGTTTATGCAAATCTAAATAGTTGCCTGAGGTGCACTCTGACGCACGGTGCTTCGGGTAGCCGAAATGGGGTACCATTAGAAACTCCCTGAAAAGGGCCGGCAGAGCGCCGGATAACTTCCGAAAAGAGACAAGTATGTCAAAAGCAATTAAGCAATTAACATTTCTCTTAGCCAGACGATTGACGTATGATTGGTGGGTTCTGCCCAAAGATCTCTTCTTTCCAACCGATGTCTTGACAAGTCAATTCAATATCAACAGGTGCGCTAGCAGAAGTTATGCTGCCTGTATTAACACTATGCGCATGATAATAACACGACTAAAAAAAATGCCATTTTTCATTATTAAAAACACAAATAGAGCATTGCTGTTCAGTAATTTTCGCTGCTATCTTAAATTCCTTTTGCAGTGGACTATGCCGAGCTTTACGCCAACAGCTTTGAAGGCGTTTGACATAACGCTTATATTCTGGGCTATTTTGCATTATTTGTTTATGTTTACAAGCAGCCACCTAGGTACAACCTAACCTGTACATGACTTGTATAATTTGTGACCAGTAACGGGCGCAGACGCTCAAAATAACGATGTTGCACTTTTTTGTATGATGTCTTGCAGAAGGCCAAGAGAATTCACGTAAAGGGACCTATTTTGTCTGTACGAGTTTCTCCATATGAACTCAGTATTAACGAGCGTTTAATTATAGAGGTTCAGGTAGAAGTTCCTCGTAAAAGAAACGATTGTAATAAGAAACAAAAAAAGCTAAAGGGGAGAAATATTATTCACAGTGACACCATACGTTCGTAACGTATCGTATTCGATAACAGGAACAACTTAAAAGTGGACAGATTCATTGCGCATTTGATAGGGTGAGAAATTCATCCAGAAACACACTGACAAGAGCACCAGTGTATAATAATAATATAGCAAAAAATCATGAACGCAATTTCTACAAGCGCTGATCGAAGATAACGATCAATTTCATGGTCTGATTCTCAGGATTAGCGTCCTCTTATAATACTGCCCTTAACAGAACGACTATCAAAAACCTGACGCTTATGTCACGCAAGTTCAAGAATGTGTTTACAAGAAACACTGTTACTGAAATTACTGTTTTATATTACACTGCATTAGCTTTCGTCTCAGGTTTTGCCCAGGTGATGCCTTTCAGGACAATTTAAATCACTGATCATTGATCATCATCAAGATCATACAAGATAGCCTTTTCGAATGAAATACTCGCGCGCACAAATTTGGTCTTACGAATGCTCAAATGCTATTTAGAACCAACAAAGTCTGTTACTCTAACTAACCTAATTCGAAACAAATGTTTCGAACAATAAAACATCTGAAGGTAAGGATTAATTAAATGAACGCTGACCTTAAAACAACAAAGTAGCACTCAGGGTGATCAGGCCAAATACCTACCTACCTATAGTTCCCTGAGACGTCCCTGAAATCGAAGCGATGGAAGGCATTGGGGTCAACGTGTTAGAGCTGGCAGAAAAACAAGATCATTAGATAAACTCAAGCCAATACTGACCTGCTGCCTACGAGATTACAGTTTAAGTTTTGTGATAAGATAAACCAATATCTTTGAATAACATTTTGTGTAGCACAAGTGAACACATGTTTGACCTACGATAAAAAAATCACCCTGTCATCTGACTAATCAGCGTATTCCATCATAAGCCTCTAAACAATAATGGCCTTGTCGAATGCTTCCGTCCTTCTGACCCGTACCAGATGACCACCCGCAGAACACGCTGGCCCATAGCCAGAATAGCGCCCACCGTTTTTTCCTCCAAGCTAATTTCCAAAACCTTTTTTCTTATCTTTCCTTCCGGATGGCTTCAAAATGCTTTTATCTCTTAATGCGTTGTGAAACGTAATTAACGCACGGGTCATTTGACCTCAATAGCCTCTTTCCCCTCAAAATAAATCGGCGAAGAAGAATAGAAAATAGAAAGAAGCAGACAGCGAGGAGCCAACTTTACCAAAGAATTACCAAAAAAACTTTTTTTTTTCATGTTTTCTACAAGTCAACGTTTTCTGCAGAGTTGCTTTGTCGATGACGCAAGATGGTGTTTGTCCTGGCTTTTAAAACGGCGAAGCGCCCACGGAAGCGGCCATAGATGTGCCGCTACCGGGCCAGTGCTTCTGAAAGATTCGCCAGAGGCTGTAAAGATATCCCAGTACATAAAAGGCATATGTACCGCGACGACAGAGCCTTGAAAAACCTACACATCACGTTAACAACTCTATTGGCTTTTAAATGCTATAGAATTTTTCACGATCTCTGTATTGAGTTAAAATTTGGATAGTGCTCCGCGTATGATGCAATCTGTCGCCTTTTTAGACGTAATTCTAAGAACGTGTATTTTGAATGCGAGCTAGGTTTTTTCAGGCCAAGTAAATTGTCTGAATTGATGTTGAAACTAATCTTTCTCGTATGTATGACAAGTGAGAGAGCACCTGGGTTGGATGAAAGAGGTATTACGGACAATTCGCAATCGGCTGTTCTGACTTTTGAGCATGCGCAAGAAGCACGGCGATATAAATATGTTAGCTCATTAATTTGACTGAGTCTGTTGCATGAATATAATTAACATCTGGTTGGTCCCTATTACATTCATTTTTTTTTCTATTTTCTATTCTAAGTTTCACCTATGTCCACTCATATATGAGCAATTCGGGGAGGACGCACCCATTTCCAAGTGATCTGGCAGAATCACTTGCCGTGTCCATGATGCACAATTGCTAAATATAACAGTTGTTGTCCTGTTATATTACAAAAGCTTCTTTCATTTAAAGAACTCAATAGTAAGATACATAACTGCGAGCTACCATTCAGTTTTTAGCGTATAGCTGTGGTGCAGCCTTCGAGAGGGGCATTGACTGCGGATGAGATTTTCAGTTTTGATTTTATAAAAATGTAAGATAGAAAAAAAATAAATAAAAAAAGTTTGGAAATCTACCAATAATCAAGTCAACCTTTTACAGCGCGTAAGGAGTACCGTTTTTTAGGGAGTCCTTAAACTACCTACCTAAGAAAATTGATGATTGAGTGTCTACAGCGTTCGCGGACATTGATTAGGGCTTCAGAGCTGGAAATTCGTATTTAGTCTACAAACCAAACTCCGGAATATTAGCAACAGCGCAGGGTGACGTTAAACCGTAGGCTCTATCTAGTGACAATTTGACCCAGTTACCCCAACGACTTCGTGCACGAACCCGAGTGATTAGATTCACCACTGTCACCACTCATCTACGTGCACTAAAGGACGCATTAAACGCGCCACTATTTTAGATTGTCCGTGGACTCTGTAGAAGCGCCATCGTCAAGCTGTTAGCTATGTTCGTACGCTCGTGAGCAAACAATCCCTGTACGATATCGGCATCGGAAACAAAAACAAGATTTTTAAGAACAATTTAATGATCAAAAATTAGCGATTTAGGTAGGAAAATGTTAAAAATTCGCATTGGTTTCGCATACAGAAATGCAGACTGCCATACGTCAGGCTGGCTGAAAACGATTAACGTGAGACAACTCAAAAACGTTTCTGAACGATTTTTCCGCATAGTATCGCATACTTTGCTTTGCATCATTAGATCAATAGTTTATTTGGTCAAATGTACCTTATCTGCTAAAGATTTTGCCAGTGATGAACATAAGCCACGAAAAAACATGACGCAAGTAGCCAACGTCGTTCTGCTCTAGGCGTTATTTTAGTACGAGAATGATGAAATGAGTAGAAAAAAATATCTTTCGTTTTACCAGAAGTCGCTTTCTAACGCGCTAAAGGCGATTCAACAGTAACATCGAAAGCTTTCCTTTCGACCTATATTATCTGCCTACGTTTAATTTATATAGAATACCTAGGTTTGTTAAATTTCGGATGTAATCCGAAAAAATTTGAAAGTTGCCCAAAGCTGAATCTAAACAAACGTTTGTTACAATTACTAGCCTGTTGTACTAGACCCTTCCAATATAACTGATTGCAGTTTTTCTTACGATAGCCTCTTTCACGGATTATCTGTTAGCTTAGTACTATCAGATATATATGCACGATTATACTGCTTTAGTAATTATCCTAGCTCGATTTCTTCTGACGTATGAGGACATGTTTTGCTATGATGCAAGTGAACCTTTGCAGGCTACTCTCCGCCTCATTCTCACAGCTGATGTCTTGCTTCGACAGCGCGCAAGACTCGTTCTGTAGATGATGATGATCCTTCGGTGTGCCAAAACGTGCTTGTCTGAAAACGAAGGTCATTATACATAGTTATACGTGTTCCATTTTGAAAATTGCTAGACGCTTGTGCTTCGTTCTGATACAAATAGAAGTATTAATCTGATGTTAGCTATGTATGAAGAGTATCTTATGAAGGGTGTATCTTAATATAATAACAATTATTGAAGGAGGTAATTGATTCAATTACCGGTGGTAGAACAGCATCTCACATCACACAGCAAGCACACATAGTCATATCCATCGATTTCGAACGATACAATAGCTAGAAGAAGTGGCAAACGGGCTTTTCGCCTAATAACTAGCGTACACGATTTCAGCTCATTTATGTAGATTCATTGCGGAGCATTTAGTCGGGTGGTGAACGGTACCGTCGTCGGGAGATGTAGAAGGGTCGAACATCATTTTCTAATAAAGTAACAGCTGCATTTAGAAAATGAATATTTAAGCTTGCAGTATTTCGGGGGGTTCGTAGGGCTCAGGATTGTAGTGCAATTCGTCTGACGGTGCCGAAGCCAGTCAGATTAGCTATTTTCATTGCACGTAATCGATCGTTCGATCCCGTATCGTCTACTACAGTTTCGTCTCTCCTAGAGCCGCATTTTTCAAAATAAACGGTAACAAAGCATTTTAACGGGAGCTGCATGAGCCACTGTCTTTCGCCTATTTGTAAAGTAATACGGAACCTATTGTTAGTTAGACAGGTAAATTCAATGGGACAGGTCGTGCTCAGACATAACTCATCCAAGTTGAAAGTTAACGGCAAGCGTATATATTAGGATAACGCGTATCAGGGTAGATTTACTAAAACAACGAGCATCGTGGTCATGCAGGAACTTCTTTTCCAGCTAAACAAGCGAGGACCTGTACATGTAGAAACGGGTCTGCACTTTGCTTTTATACTTAGTCAACTATGAATTAAATATGAAGGATTTTGATTTAATTGTGATAATTTAGGGTATGCTTCTTTTTCGACATGGCCGAATAAATCAACGCAACCCGGAATCTTCACTTGACATTTGACATGTGTTACGGAAGCTTAATACTGACGAAAAGGGGAAACGTGTTCAAGCATTTGCAAGTATTTTCGGCCAATAAATGCTACCTCCCCATCAAGAGAAAGTGAAACAGGCCTAAAAGGGCTTTTGCGGAAGAAGCTTTGTGTTTCTTCTTCGGTGACGCGGGATTTTATGCTGACAGCCTGCCTATACAGCGTCGAGTATATCGTTTACATAATTCCACTGACATTCCTCCACAAAATTTCCACATCTAGTCTAGTTACCTAGAGCCGTTGCACAAATGTAAAGCCCCACCTCATAAGGTATTAGAGACAGTTCTGTGCCTGCAATATCCAATATATGCCATATGCTATTTGTTGTACGCAGAAGTTAGTAGGGGTAAATGGCACGCCATATATAATTATTAGAGAATAAATTTGTGGAGGGTAATGAAAGGACGTCTACTTCTCCAAACACCACAACGTATCAAATGATAGCTACGTTCTACGACTCAAGTGTCTATGCAGTAATTATAATTAAGAAATCACTGCACTGAATGAACGGTGTCATTGCGCTGTGTGTACACAAGCTATGTGCACTAGACATCCGAGCGAAGCATCTTGCTATTCCAAGAGTAAGGGCCTACGTCAAATGTTTCGCGGTCGGCTACCGTTAGAAAGATACGAGAATGGTAAAAAACGATCTAAAATACCAGATCTTATGCTCCATATACCATTCAAATTAGCCCGCAAAACGCTCTGACAACGCCTCGAAAAAGAACGCAATCCCTTCGTTAACCTTCTCATATGAATACACACGTGCGTTGAAAAATCTGTTTCTAGCTACCGCGTCTGCCCTTCACAGTCCACATGCAAATGGATTACATCTAAGGAAGATTCTAGTCAATGGCATTGCGCTTCTCTCTCGAGTACCGAGTACTAGCGACGACAAATCAGAATCTGCTTCGTTTTCTCCCACAACTAAGATAGGTAAACTCATGACACAGCTGGCGACTCTTCTCCATTTACAGCGGCAGAGCTGTGCAACTGGCACATGAAAGGTATAATACTTTTTGGTACTAAGCTTAGCCCAGCAAACAGCGCCCCACACGAATTGTCCTTGACCTTGACAACGCTTGTCATGGGGAACGCCACACCAAGTAACAACAATATCTCAGTACTCAATTTTTATTCAAAATATTCATTTGTTAAAAAAATCATCACGTCAAGCTTAAACCTTTTATTTTGCTTTCTCTTTTTTTTTATTTAAATAAACATATTAGCGCCTCTTAGTTTTTCCTTTAAACAGGCTTCCGTGTATATATATATATATATATTCTTTGAAAATTGATCTGAAGCTTGAATTTCATTGAAAAAAAACGATTTGTTTTTTTTTTTTTTATAAACATTCGCTAAGGATTTTACTTTTAACATGTAAAAGCTATTCGTTACAAAACAAAGTTAAACATGTATGTATGCATTTTCTCGGGGCTGCTCGTTGGTGCCACACACAAACAGCCATATAACACAACAACGAAGAGAAATACGTTTTCAAACGTTTCGCCCTTAAAAACAGACGCTTATTGTTTCCTTTAACGCATTGCTTATTCACGTAACAGGGCTAACATAAATGTGGACAGAATAAGAACTTCTGCTACTTTGACATTTGATTGATACTTACAATCGCGTTCGAGGGTACGCAGTCTCCGACTTCCAAGTCCTAGATTTTTTGAAGCACTGTCGCCGACCTGATAGCAACGAGGACTTACTCGTGCGTGTGAAGAATAGGAATATATATATATTATACATATATATATATATGAAGAATGGGTATTGATATGTAGGAGTCAATCTGCCCCCATGTCTAGACTAAGCTTAGTCTGCTGTAGTCAGGAAAGACGCTGCCAAATCCGTTAAGAGTATGAAAAACCGGGTCGAGCGACCCGGTATAAAGTAAAATTCATATAACGGGTACACGATCGTCTCGGGACACAGAACGAACTGTGCGATTCGCATCCAATTACCCTTAGATCGGCTAAACGATTTAAACCGTACGTAGATGTTGTTGTAAGTTCTTTTTTTGGCAAACGTTTCTAGCGTCCTCCTCGGATCGCAAGACAAATGTCTTGCGATCAATCACGACCTGCACATACTGACCAGCCCGTACACACAGAAATTTGACCACGAACAAAAACCATTAGTAGTAGCTATACTATTACTATAGCTTAGCTAATTCAGATTCACAGGAACTTACTGGGACCATTAAAACCAAGAGATTGATCACATTTAAAATTTCCGGCTATTATTATTGAGCGAGCCTTAACGGCCTTTTAAATGTACCAGGAATTGCCATGAGCCTTGCACCTAATTTTCACGTCTGTTGTCTTCCGTTACTGTGTTGGAAACCACTATACAGGGGTACCGTTGCGTAATATAGGAAGATGGGGACGATTTTTTAGTGGTGAATATGGGGTTGCTGACCCTTTTTTTATAGACGCGTAGATTAGCTAACATTACGAACTGCAAAAATCAGCCTTAAAAAATTACTTCGACCATTTTATCGTTTCTAATAACTATTCAGCATATTAAACATATTGGACACATAAAACAGTTCTCGTCCATAAGCCTCTAAAACCACTAAGGTACGAATGTAACTACACCGTAGAGGGAACGAGGCTTCTTGCTTCTCGTACAGGTGGGTTAAGTGCATTGGGACGCAGCTATTCAAAGATGTACAACGAAATAGTCAAGTGAAAGTTGCTGAAACTGCTTGCAATGTAAGTTCCGGTATCTACAAATTTTTTTCCTTTTGCCTAGAGCATGTGCTATGGTGGAACGTTTCGAGTAGTTCCGAGGGACTTGACGGCATTCCGCAGTTCAAAACTCATAATAGAGACATTGATCATATCACGACGCAATAGCCTGTTAGTATTAATATCCACTGAGAGCAGAAACAAGTAAAAACGGCCTACGGTACTCGGTAACATTTTTGAAGAGTGTGTTTTGCATTGATTGTATACTTTGCTCAACATTATGTAACAGGTACGTAATGTAAGGTTCAAACAGACAACGATGTACAGGACCTATTTTGCTGTTAGATGTGCAAATGTACATTAGCCAATGTGATTAGCTGAAGGATACTGGATTGCTATCCCGCCAGTCTTAATAAAGTTCAAGGTGCGTCCGTTGTAAACCCCCGTAAATTAAATGTTTTCTAAAATGCAACATCACCACTGATATACGTAACCCTATCAATACGCCTCGAAATTGTTTCGTCTTCTTTACTCACCAAATGAATCCTTTCGCCGCCCTTTTTCGTACGAGAGCGTTGTAGCGGACGTCATTTTAAGTTTGATCTTCCGCACCTTTCATTTGCCGTGTCGCAGATGTGAAGTTATCTATCTTTCACATCTCCTTTTTACTGGCCTATGTTCAAACCGGTGTTTTCTCAGTTTCGTCAGACGTAGGAGCACGTGGGGAAGGCAAGGCTACATACCTTTCTCCTAGCCATCTTTGGTAATATAAAAATCTACGCTTTTATTCGCTTCACATTAGCAAGGGCAATTTTAGCCACTGTTAGTAGGCCAAAAAGTGGTGGCCTTAAAGTTCCTAGCACAGAATCTATTAATGCCCGTTAACATCGTGATGCTGTCGGAAACCACTATTTCAATCCGTAATCATGTATGAAAAGATGGCACCCGCAAGGACTGCCATCTTTCCTGTCGTGAGAACGTATATTTAACGAAACAACGATAATGTAATGAATCGAAGGCCCATAAATATTCAGGGAGGATGCTCGTTTTCGCGCATCTAGCAATTACAAAATAGCCCCGTCATGTTACTGATAGTTCATACGGACGGTATTATACTGAGTATCTGCGAGAAGGCTGAACTGTCCTCTACCTTTATTTTTTTTTATTTTAAACGACTTAATTTAAAGTGACTGGTTGGACTGTCCGAAGAAATGTGTCGTCATGAAACGTGCGGAAACTGTGGATTGAGATAACTGACTGTGGATTCAGATAATTGCTTGCATTAACGAGACTTAAGTTTATCCACATAAGCTGATAATAACAAACTAAGCCGATAATAACAAATCCTAAATAACTTTGACGAGTAATTATATGCGACATATGTCATCCTTTTTGTATCAAATGAATGCTGATGCGGTACTGAAATGGATTAAAATGATCTGATCTGTGTATTTACACTGGCTAACCAGAACTCCCCTGCTGCTTTTCCGAGACGTGTGTAGCATCACGAGGATCAGCTTTGCCTATAAAGCTGATGGAATACTTGACCAATCTGTATATTCGA